TCAAGAAGTTTTTGCAGCTCAAAGCAACCTAGCAAGAGAAACAATGGGCTACAACACTCTTGATCAAGGACTAAAAATAAGACCTTATATCGATGAACAACTCATAAGCAAATTGGTCGAAGAAAAACTAAACAAAATGTGGGGCTGGTTTGTAGGTTTTGGTAATTTTATATCTGGATTATTAGGTGTATTTGTTATATGGAAAATCTTTATGATATGTCTAAACACAACAATCAACATGTCAATCTTATATCAAACTTTTGGATTTAGCTTTAAAGTACTGGCAGGTTTATTTGCAAGCATGACACATTATTTTATGCATAAATCACATACTAAAGCTAAACAAAATACACAAAATAATGAAAATGAAAATCCAGAGACATACTTATTAGACAATATTACAGAACAACCTATATCACAACCTACACCACAACCTAGACAAATCTATCCATCACTAAATATAAAAAACACACAACACCAAGATCTTAGAAGATCATTATAAATACATAAAGCCTGAATAAACTAAACATAATCATAATATAATACATAATAATATAACTAAATCATATAAAAAAAATATATAATATAAAATATATCAGAGTCATTAAAATAATTCTTGTACATAAGCACTAACACCATTAAATTTACACTAAATCATAAATGTCATAATTCAGATGGAATATCGTTCAGACCTAATGAAATCAATACAAACAGATCGATATCCAACATCACGAGTCGACAGCAGAACGTACGACACAACAACATTTTGGGGCACAACACAAAACTCAATATTAATCAATTATAAACACACACAAATAAACAACATTGTATTAAATTTGAGCGAAACGAATATAACAAGCAAATTTTCCAATCACAATAATTTTAAAATAAGACAGAATAATAAACATATGATAACAATACATCTCCACAAAGAAATAATAAATAGAACCCACAATATAGAAAATAATAAAATAAAACATGCAATTTATACTGATAATCTAAACAATACTTATATAATATGTTTAAATGAAAACACTTCAGATTATAATTATATAACCAAAATATTACATAATTTAGAAAAAACCACCAAATCACTTAAATTACAAAAGAAAGCTTATTTACGAGCAATATTTCTATCAGAAATATTCATCTGTCTATCATCACAATTATGGCATTTACCAAATTTAAAACCTTCCCACCTATTAGAAAAAATAATTGACATAACTGCACTATCGGCATATTTTATAATGAAGGCAGGACTTCTATGTGACCCAATATTTCTAACCATGACAGGACACCTAGGGAAAGATAAAAGAAAATTTTATAGAATACCTGAATCATCAAGAATGTTCAATTTAGAAAACCAAAACTTATACTATGATACATATTTCAATAAAAATAATTCCAAACAAAATTTCATTTCAAAAAACTACTCAGATAAATTTCATAAAAAAATAACCCTATATTTCAATGACTCATGCATAATAGACCCACAAATCCAAAAAATTGAATGGACAAAAAACATTTATCGAGATCATTATTCACTAAACAACAAAACATACATTGGTCGCTCTATGCTATCATACACATTTTACAACTATGCATTCTTTATTATAAAGGCACCAGAATTAGTTCAATTTCAAAACGCAGTAATACCAAATGAAATGGGTAGAATTTATATCACACATTATAACATTACACCACAAACACTCACATCAAATATACTTATACACACAGCTAGCATCACAAAAAACACAGCTCACAAATCAAAATCAAAAGAATTAAAAAATATATGTAAAAAACTATTATATTTTAAAATTACAGGACTGACAAGATAAAAACAATACAAAATGAATTGCGTTATCATTAATTTACTTTAATCGAAAGAACAACACTAGTACTAATATCCGGGGCAATAGCTAACAGCCACACCGAGTCAAAAACTATTAAATTAAAAGGGCAACCACTACTACTAAGAAAACATCAAAAATCTACAGAAATAACTAAATTACCCAGAGACCAAATAAATATAATAATAAAAACAATAATAAAAATCTTCAAAATAAACCGGAAAAAACAAGAACCAATATTGAATGAATTAAATGAGAGCTTCCTAAAAAAGAATGGCAACCTCAATCCACAATACATAATTAAATATGCTAACTACAATAACAAGAAACCAATTATCGTAACGTGGAATGGGGATACTGACATGGAAATACTAAAAAGGATGGGTATAGACATGCCAGTATTCAACATGACATGTTACGACACTCACAATAATGGGGAATTCTTTTTACAACTAATAAACACTACAAACAATAAAATAGTCATTAAATCAAAGTTAGGATACATAAACAAAAAAGGTAGGCTCACAAACCTAGAGGAAACGCACAAAATAATATGTAAATTATCGCATAATGACACATACATACATGACCCGGTAACAGATGTAAATCTGACCAAATGCATATTTAATCACCTAATGACCAACACAAATACATCCTTAGAATCTCTAATAAATAATCAAAATCAGTAGCTCACTCACAAAAAAAAAACAATTTCACACCAATAATAACAGCAAATAACCAGTTGCATAATAAATAAATAAAATTCTTCTTATTTTTAGCTAACACCAATAAAATGTTGTTCAAACAAAAATCAGACTCTTCAGCACAAAAATATGTCACATACTGCACAGAACTCAACCTAAGCACTGAATGCCCTAAAAAAATATATACAAACCTTATAATAAAATCAAATACATTAAGGAAATTAACAATAATTAACATGGACATCAATAAACTAGATGTGTCACAATGCACTAAATTACAAACCCTTATATGTACAGACAATAACATGAATCAACTAATCACTAATAATGAATTAAGAGCATTAGATTGTGCAAACAATAAGATCATTGATTTAAATCTATCAAACACACTAATCCAATTAACATGTTCAAATAACAAATTAAAAAACCTAATATTAGGATACAGCCTGATAGAAGTACATTGTAACAACAATGAACTAAAAGAATTAAATTTAAATCCAAATTTGAGAACACTAAACTGCAGCAACAATCAATTAACAAATCTCAATTTAAATAGAAATCTGTCAACCCTATATTGCAAAAGAAATTCAATAACAAAAATTGAACTAAATATAAAATTAAACGAAATTCATTGTTCTAATAACTCATTAGAAACAATAATAATCAATGGTTTATTAACTAAATTATCATGTAAACACAATAAAATAAAAAACATAACACTAAATAACTCATTTCCAGACAAAAAAATCTTAATAAAAAAAGATAAACAAGTAATAATAATAGCACAACAAATAAATCTCAAGGAATTCACACCTACCCTAAACGAAGAAACAATATGTCCAATTTGTCTTGAATCTGAAGGACAATTAATAAAAACTGATTGCAATCACACGTTTCATATGAATTGTATTTCACTCATCAAAAATACCAAATGTCCTTGTTGCAGAAGACAAATAGAACAATTGAAGATCAAACATTACCAACTGGAATAAACAGTTATTTAATAAAAAACACACAAAACTCATTAAACATAATATAATTTCAACAATAATCAACCAAAAGAAGAATAGAATCTACAAAAATAAAATTTAGTAAAATTATATATTAACAACTTTACTACCTTACGTGAATAATGCTTGAAACACATAAACGTCAAAGAATCCAAAATATCCAACATAATAAATTAAATAAACATAATTCAAATAAACTAACAACACAAATAATAATTAATAAGACAATTCAAAAAAAACACATGCCAGAAAAAAGAATTCAGACTAATCATTATAACCACAAAATATAATCAAAAGATACTGAAAAGGAAACACCATGTTGATAACTTCAATCAATTAATTAACACCGGATATAACATCAATCATTATCAATATCAACTATACAAGTATAACAACATTAGAAAAGTAAATAAAAATAATAAAATGAATTTGTAGATAATAGAATTAATAACAACTATAAATACTAATACTAACACAAAGGGATATATAATATTAAGACACATTAGTACTTACATTAATCATAAAATAGACAATAAAATAAATTTGTAAATACTATAATTAAAGATAATTACAAAGTACAAATAAAAGGGTATATAATATTAAGACTTATTAGTATATTAACTACAAAATAAACAAAAATAAGATAAAAATAAGTACCTATAGATTAATTAATGATTAAACACTAAGAATTATTAGAAAAAAAAAAAAAACATAATTTATAACATTAACTGGGAATTTTTATATTAAAAGGGATACTATTTAGCAAAACAATAATCTAAACATCAATCGAATTATTATAATTTAAGTGTAAATTACACAAGGGATAAAGAATAGGATTTATAAAAATACAAAAAACAAAAATATTCACCTCATAAGTAGTAATAACTATTACAAATTATCAATTATAATCAATAATTTAAGGAAAGTAAGACTTAATCACATACATGATTAAATAAGTACAATTTAATCAAAACAAGGGAAACACTATTAAATTAAAAAATTCTTTAAAGGGAACTTATATCAAATAACGGGATAACTACCTAAAAAAAAAAAAAAAAAAAAAAAAACATATTCATCACCTATATAGTAGTTTATAAAAATAATCAATATAAAGTTATAAAATCATAACACAATATGGCTGGGTTTGGAACAACATTCTATACTTATAAATACAACGAAAATATGATCAACAAATACCTCGATCTAATTACAACGCAATCAACACTCAAAATACATGCCTTCAATGTTGATTTTATTGACAAATATCTAAATGATGGAATGCGTGAAACAAAGGTATGGACGAAAATTCCAGTATTAAATACCAAAATAATACTATTCCCAATACACATCAAAGAAGAATGGGCACTGATAGTTATATTTACAAAAATAAAAACTATCGCTGTTATTAGAACAAGAACCTCAATTATGAATTTGAAATGGCAGTCATAAAAAAATTCTTAATCAGCCGGCAAACAATTATCGGACATCATCCATCGAAATGGAAATCAATTTACTTCCACATTCCAAAACAATCAAGTTCGCACAATTCTGGACCATGGATATTACATTTAGCAAAATGTATATCATTCAACAATACCAACATCCAACACAATTACATGCCGGTAATCAGGAAAACACAATATAAAGAATTATTAATGATGGACCAAATCATAATCAACGCCGTTGAAGTATTCAAGACCCCTCCCACAGTAACCACCAATGACACGGTTCAATAAAAAAAAAAAATGTCGACCACGCAAATCAATCATGGATTCAACGGACAATGGATTAGCCTCATCAACAACCAACATCACGGAGTCAAATAAGGCCACAGCAGTCTCGTCAGCAAGTCAACCAACAAACATCAACAATCAACGTCACGGATTCAACAACGAGAGCAGCACATTCCAACCCATGCACCAACATCAACACCAACCACATTGTCAATAATAAAAACAAAATTTGGTAAGTAAAAAAAAAAAACCCTCCCAAAAAAAAAAAAAAAAAAAAAACAATCAAATTTTATTTCCGTACACAAAGTAAATTAAGTAAAAAAAAACACTCCAAAAAAAAAAAAAACAATCAAATTTTATTTCCATACACAAAGTAAAATTAAGTAAAAAAAAAACACAAAAAAAAAAAAACAATCAAATTTTATTTCGGTACACAAAGTAAATTTAAATTTAGAAAAAAAAAAAAGGGGAACTATACAACCGATCAAAAAAAAAACCACAATGTAATAATTAATCAAATATTATATTCATTGTTTTACCAACCATAGCAATACTCATATATATTTAAGAATTTTCATATTATATAAATTATACATTAAGATATACACGGAATATTCAACTTTTAAATGTATAACATCAGTTCATCGTGGGGACACGATGAAATTCGAATTTCCGTGCAATTTGTAATATATAAATAATACAAGTCTTGTTAATAATAAAAAGGTAAAAAGGGACTTCCAATATGAGTATAAGTACTTGGGTGTGGCACATATAATGCAATTAAATCGGCCACATATAAACGATTAATATTATAATATAATTCTCATATAAGTAGATCACATAAAATATAATAAGACGTTGTGCAACAACAATTAAATACACAGCACATTACAATAATTGAACCCCATCATCTAAAACATGATGACACAACAATTAATATGTACACCAAAATCAATCACATAATATAAAAATAATTGAATAATCACATCCCCGATTATACAGGTAATGATGTAACAACAATTAGAATATACATCAAAATCTCCCCAAATTATATAAAACACACACACACATACATATAGGATAGAATAGTTCACAAGACGCATCCATACACACCGTAATAAAACAATACGAATACACTACAAAGAATAGTTACACCCTATACACGGATAGTGATGCTGCGACATGCGACGACAATTATGATACGCTCATATAAGTAACGCCCACACCAAAGACACAACAGCAGACAGATCAGAGACGGCGTTCAAGGAGCGGAGCGAAGAGAAGAGGATTGACCAATGTCGCAGTGTCATCATATAGCCACATAGCCGCAATACCATTTTTTCTACGCCACATATACACATA